AAATAGCAATAGGCCTTTTAGAACATGTTTAAAGAATGCTAAACTGTGAAACGTAGCGAAAGAGTCACTGATATACGACACGTTTCATAACGACATAAATCGTGGCACTTTTGGCAATAGGAACAAATGAACACTTGTATTTATTAATGTCGCGTTTTGTGGCGTATAATCATCCTCAGATAGAGGCGTTGTAAATATGTACAACCCAAATCTAGCACATGTTTAATTGAAATGTAATTTTCGTCTAAAACATTGCGATATGAAACGGCTAGAGAACGGCTGATTCGATTATGTCATTGAGTCCGCAGATAAATCATTTTCGAAGCTATCGAAACGGTCATAATAATCTTAAATTTGCTTTTTAAATGAGCTTTCTATGTTCTTGTGTCATTCGTTTAGTTGTCGAAAGCGTTGCGGAATCGATTCACTGAAATCTGGTGCGATGCCAGTTATGAAGAAGCAGATGTAAACAGCGTTCTGGTTCATAATCTTCAAACAGGTGATGAATTTGCGGTCATGATATTCGAGTACTTGACCTTTCTTTCGCGCGAAGGCCTCCAGCACAGAAAGTAAGTCGTTTCAACGCTACGTCTTGCTTGTGTCTTGCATTAGCGCTTTGTCTGTCAGCAGGTTCACTTTGTCGATCCGAGACATGCTTTCTTGGGTGAGCTTCATCAACATCTGTTCGTCGGCTATCGAAACGCCTTTGGCTTACGCGCACGGCGCTTGTGCAGTTTTTCTGGACGGATTTGGTATGTAACTGATTTACTTTGGTTCCGTCTTGCGCTTTCTATTGAAATATTACGTTCAGGCTGTCAGAAATCGAGTACCAGCTCAGAGGCTTCTCAGTTCAGAACAGCTTCGCTCAGATTTTTGAAACATCAGCTACAAAGGCGGTGCAACACTACCCTGTCAGTCGACTGCGTCGAACATGGCAGCGGTGTGGTAGAGCGTGACCTTTGTTACTTCGGGATCAAACCGTTTTTTATTAAACTTGGTAAATATGTCTGCAAACGTTACACTGCCATTAAATCGCTCTCGCATTGAACCCATATTGTTGTCGAATGACACAGGTACCCAGTGTTTAGCGATTGTGTAGACCGTAACCAGAGCAGCTGTTAACAAGTTATGCAGCTCAGTTTTTCATTTCGTTTTGGCTAGGAGAGAGGACATAACTCGTAGAGTCTGACTCGATAATTAACAGGTGAAAGCGAAATCACACGACAGCACCTCCAGACTTAGCATCTAAAGAAATATTGTAGTACCTTAAGCGATTTGTATTTCATGCTTTCAAAACTGTTATATTTCGTTTCTGTTTCAATGGGTCAGGGATTCTGTTTATTGATACAACACATTACTGACATCAATGCCTTTTTCTTCATGCCTACGTACCAATCAAACAAAATATCTTAATTTTAGAGTCTAATTGATGACGTCATGTAAATTGGACACACGTTTCTCGCTGTTTAATGTTTTTTCCTTGTACGTATATTTTTGATGCGGCTGTTTGGATTGCAAACTCTCGCCGTTTTCTCTGAGGATGGACGGTGTTTCTTAGCAGTAAAATATATTTTTAACGTCAGTGTCTGTGGTATGTCTATAACCATTGATTCGTTTACACGTGCACTTGTTAACGCTTGCTGTTTGCATAGTTTTCCATTTTGATAGTGTGTCATTATCCATAAAGATAATCTTCACTAAAAGCCAATGACTGAAAGTCTACGAATATTTATTAGGAATAATTTGGTGAAAATGGTTTCGTTTGCCTATATTTTCATTTTGGAGCCTTGTTCTGGCGCTCCTTTCTTCGTTACGACATTAACCTGAACCCATTTAAAGAGCGATTTTATATAATTTGTTTTATCTCATCCGATCATAGTTTCTGAAGTGTTGATTTCACTTGACTCATTTGTTGATACGTCTTCCATATCATTCAGGGTCTCGCGATACTCTCTCGACGAATGCGTTCAATTTCGAAGCGAATACGACGAAGAAGAATCTGTTTCGTGTGCTTCGAGCGATGCAGCTGTCGAAGCCGATCATGCTCGAAGGCAGCCCTGGCGTCGGTAAAAGTGGCCTCGTAATGGCAATTGCTGCAGCCTCTGGTCATTTGTTGACA